CTACCTTCCTCAAGACTTTAGTTAAAACCAAAACCCAAACCAAAAAATGCCCCCAATCCTATTGTTGTCAAATTGATTCCAACTCATGGTGATTCTATGTGTGACAAAGCAGAACTACTCTGTAGGATTTTCTTGGCTATAATCTACCAGCTGTTCCGCGGGAGAAAGATGAGGTGTTCTGCTCCTGTAAAGATTTACAGCCTTGGAAACCCTGTACAGGGTCGCTATGAGTCAGAACCGACTCCACGGCACATAACAACAACAACGACAATACCAGAGTTCTCTTTTATAATCATGCATTTTGTTTGCTGATTTGGTTCTAGAGGCAAAACAAAAACTGTGGCTTATTCTTCCTTTTCTGAGTGTGGGTGGCTTTTAAAATGTTTTCCTTGGTGATTCCCTGGTGACCATCAAATAGCTAACACAGTACCACCAAAGTACAAGTCAAGGTAAAACTGCTCTTGTAAAGGGCTAAAAATAGCACTGTTTAATAGCAGCATTTAAGACCCAATTCAGTACCCTTTTTCTCTTAAACGGTATGATGGTGACAGACACCAAGACTTCAGTGTTCCATGCTTACGAGGTTTATAGAAAGCTGATAGCGTCATGGATTAAAAGCTGGGCTGCTAACCACAAGGTCAGAAGTTCGAATTCTACCAGCCACTTTGTGGGAGAAAGATGAGGCTTTTTGCTCCTGTAAAGATTTACAGCCTCGGAAACGCTATACAGGACCATATAAGTCTGGTGTGGCACTGTGGGTTCATGTGCTGGACAGCAAAGTCGGTTTGAGCTGAGAGGTTGGTGGCTCAAGCTCACCAGATGCTCCTTGGAAATCCTATGCAGGGTTGCTATGGGTCAGAATTTAACACCAACATGAGTCAGAATTTACTTCATGGCACATGACCACCACCATTGCCATAGAGCAAGACAAGATGTTTGGACTCCTGGTGTGGTGCTGTAGAATCAGCATTGAAGTGCGAACCACAAGATCAGCCGTTCAAACCCACTAGCTGCTCCTCAGAAACCCTATACAGGGTGGAAAGGAGTCAGAACCAATACAATAGTACTTAACAACAGAGAAGAGTTGCACAGAGAAACCCAAAAGTAAACCAGCTTCACCTTCACACAGAGGAAGTGATCTACAGAGACATTCTCTACCAAGCAACAGCATCAGTAGTATCACTGCCACCAAGCCAATCTCGAAGGGGCAATCTCAAAGGGATTGGGATGGAAACCTTAGCCTTCTTCAAAAGAAGGCTGGGAAAGCTACAAGAAGGACTGGTATCTGGGCTTCCCAACACTGTCTTAAGTGAGCGTGTCCAGGGAGGTTTCTCCCTTACTGGTGTGCCTTCCTCGGCTTAAGCCTATGCTTTAACTCCCACCAGAAAAATAACTATCCTTGGTTGGGGGGTGAGGAGTTTGGAGTGTGTAAAAGTGTGTAAATAAACCTTTATAAGCACTGAGAACTTCAGTGAGTGGACCTATTGGAAGCTTCTGGGGAATAGGTTTTGTTAGCTGGCAGGATGAAGAAAGCACAAAGGCCCTATTGTACAGAGGAGGGTTTCCTTAAAGGGCCGAAGGGTGCAGAAAGGAAGCAGGGCAGAGTGGACCTGGGAGCATACATTCAAACGTGGCCCTGTCTTCATCACAAAATGAGAAAGAAGTTCCTGAACAACAAACAGTACTCCTTTGCTTGTGAAAGTATTTCAAGGTGAAACAATGTTACTCATATTCTGATCAGTTCAAATGACCAAGCAACCAAGAAAAACAGTGAAGACCAGTAGTGTTCTGTTGTCATTGTGGCCATAACGTGACAGTTTGCTATTCCTCAAATCACCTCCATGGATGGCTGTGCTGATATGAAATAAAAATGTGGCCATAGCTTTTCAAGATCTGCTGATTCCTTGACTTTGTTTCAAGTCTCAGCAATAACCAGTCGACCAAGTCTGGCTCTACATTGCTGTTGTTGTTGTTGTTACGTGCCATAGAGTCGATTCTGACCCATAGTGACCCTGTATAGGGTTTCCAAGGAGCAGCTGGTGAGTTTGAACCACTGACTTTGCAGTCTGATACATTAGCCCACAGTGCCACTAGGTACTGTCAGGTTGGTTCTGACTCATAGCGACCCTATGTACAACACAAGGAAACACGGCTTGGACCTAGAATCAATAAAAGAGATCATCTTTGTATTAGATACTTGAATCTTCACCATCTACTCACTGCCTACATCTGAAGTCAGTGTCTTCATAGGATGCCAGAGAATCTCAAGAGTTCAAACACCCATAAACAGCACTGTTTTTAATCTGTTGCCTACAACATACCAATGAGAAAAATCATGCTATCCTGTCATAAACTGCTATGCAAATGATGCTATTTGTAAGTATTAACATAATTTAGTGCTTACAGTCATATTCTCGTTTCTAATAATTCTCCCAGAATGGAGTCTTTCTCTGGCCTCTTAGCCTGCAGGATAGTCTTTCATCACGAAAGTGAAATTTTTAATAACCTGCCAGCATATGTTTTCTATGTGCCAGGGTAAGCTTGATGACACAACATCTCCATTATCAAAAGAAACAGGTCTACAAATTGTAATAGGACATTAAAACATGCCTGTGCTCATAGAGTAATGCTTTGATGTCTACACAGTCACCGTTACAATGATCTTCTGGAACAAAAGGGGATCCTGATCCTAAATTCTCAGTGGCTACACTCTATGGGACTGCAATTCACTGCCGCTTTGAATACAACTTAACTTTGAAGGCAAAAGATGTCAAGAAGTCTCCTGCTAAAAAAGAGAAGCTGTTTCAGAACTGATTTATTTCTCATTTTTAAATTTTTTGGCTTCTTATCTCAATAAGTCTAACCACAGCTCTCAAAACTGTAAAAAGATCCCTGAATGATTAGTTTTTATTTGCTAAGTTAAAAGAAAAGAAATATTTAGATAATTAGTTATTCAAAGGTTTCATATCGAAAAAAATTAACAATAATGCCCAATGCAGGTAGGGACTAAAATAGTACAGCTCATAATAATTGAAATAAAATGATGTACATTCAGATTTCTAAGTATGGCTCCATCAAATTTCAATATTTTACTAAAACAGCAATAACAACGAAAAGCAACACTTAAAGTCAAGCATTTAAAATTTATATTAGGGAGCGGTTCGAAACTACCAGCTGCTCCGCGGGAGAAAGATGAGGCTTTCTACTCCCGTAAAGATTTACACCCTCGGAAACCCTGTACAGGGTCGCTATGGGTCGAAACCGACTCGATGGCACTTAACAACAACAACAATGGCACCGTATGATAAACACACAACTTTAAGGTTGGTTTGAACTGCAAGGTCGGCAGTTTAAACTTATCAGTCACTCCTTGGACAGCCTATAGGCTATGAGTCTATGAGTCTGAACTTAACAACAACAATATTCATCAGAATCCTTTAAAAATGATTAGTTTGAAATACTGATAGCAGCAAGTGCTTTTCACACTAACATCTCAATTTTTTTAAAGAAAAAAATCATACTTTAAAAATCTCAATGGTGGTGGTTGGTTATGTGCATGGAGTCAGCTCTGACTCATAGCCACCCTGTATAGGGTTTCTGAGGCTGTAAATCTTTACAGGAGCAGAAAGCCTCATCTTTCTCCCACGAACAGCTAGTAGTTTTGAACTGCTGACGTTAAGCTTCGCAGCCCGATTTGTAACCACTATGCTAAAAATCTCAATAGCTTCATTTAAAAAAAGAAAATTTGATGCTATATGAAATAAAATCCAGTTCAACGAGAATGCAAGGGAAACCTCTAAGGATTTCAAAATTAAATACATCTTCCCTGCTTTATTTTTATTTTTTTCTTCCAGAAGAGTAATTCACTTTGGGATCCTTTAAATAATATGTAAAAAGCTGGTGGTGACAGGTAACTGCATTTAGTCCATTCACTGGAGGAGGGGAAAGAGGGCCCAGAATAGATCATGGGCAGAACAGTAACATTTGTCAAAGGGAATTCTCTCTTCTGACTGTTCTCTAGATTTATTCATCATTTCACTTTCACATGAATAATGCGGTTCCCTCTAGTGTGTCTCTCCTTTTCCATCACTTGAGTCTTGATTCATATACCTCTGTAGTGGGATGCTCAAAGCAGATGTAAATCACTTTGCATAGCCTACTGTTATGCATTCAGGTAAGAAAGAACCAGTTAGGGGAATTTGTGTCTGAATTTTCCTAATCACTTCTGCTTTAAGTGGCAGGTCAGCCAAAGCACATATCTGGGATTAAGAGAAGCCAGATAAATCTAAACCTTTGGATGCAAAATGAGACAGCTTTTAGAATGGCAGGTCTTATTTATATGTCAAACCATATAAAATTAGTTTAACATTTAAGCCAATTTGGAATGGACTGATATGTACACAGAGAAATCTACACATAGATACTCTTATGAATTTCCACCTATTGCTCAGCTTTTGTTGGGAGATTTTATGGCTGGGATGTACTAGTTTTCTCAGCATCTCATGGGGATCAGCAGTTGCGTAAATTTCCCTGGGTTATTTTCAACAACATTTGAGTGCTGACACAGTGGTGTCATTTATTAGCTTCCAGGAGACAACTATTCATTAATAGAATTTCTGTCTCATAATAAAATGCAGCTAGCTTAGTTATAGCAGTTTATAGTTTATATAGTACATGATCAGACCCTCTTAGAGCAAATGATTAAATCTGGATCTTACCTAACAGTAAAAACAAAACAAAACAAAAAACCCAAATCACTTTTTCATTATCATAATCAATTTGTAGATCTAAATGAAGACTTTTAGGGCCTAAAGACGGGGCACTTAAAATATTCTAGGCCACCCATTCGTTTAATGTAAGCGAACTCAAACAAAAGAGAGACAAAATAACTTGTGAAATGTCTCACTGCTGGGAGGTGACTGAGCTGAGTCTAGGAGGAAGGCCTTTGGACTCCTTCTTGTTTACAGATCTATGAGTTTGAGTTACCACTGAACACTCACCTGTGCCCATTTCTTGCTCCAGTCTTCTTGGCTATATTTGCTATACTCCTTTAGGACCCACTTGTAGCACTTTAGGTGGGAGGGGATGTCACAAAATGCGGTTCCATTTCCTCCAAACTCATCATTGATTTTAAAGAGCCAGCGCTGGATTTCCAGATGGTCGGTGATCAGCTGACCCAGCTGCTCTATCATCTATGGGGCCAAAGACATAGCAATATTCAATACAGCTAACCTCCTGGGATTCCTTTTTTATTGTATCTATTTAGTTGTTCTTCTCATATGTTGTTACTTTAAATGATTAAGACAGTTTAGAAGAGGTTTTAAGAGCTGTTTTGAAACTACCAGCTGTTCCGTGGGAGGAAGATGAGGCTTTCTGCTTCCATAAAGATTTACAGCCTCAGAAACCCTGTGCAGGGTCGCTATGGGTCGGACCCAACTCCACGGCACATAACAACAACATACATGATATGAAGATCCAGTAACCAGTGTGACCAAAAAAAAAAAAACCCAACCACCAAATAAACCCAGAACCATTGATTGGATTCCTGCTCATAGTGACCCTGTGTAGTGTTACCCAGGCTGTAAATTTTGGTAGGAGAAGACAGTCTTGTTTTTCTCCTGTGGAGTGCCTGGTGGGTTTGAACTGCTGATCTTACGGTTAGCAGTCCATTTCTTATCCTATTGAACCACCAGGATTCTGAGATGGTGGTGGTCATATGCCAATAAGTTGATTCTGACTCATAGCAACCCTGTATGGAGTGTCCCAGGTTATAAATCTTTATGGGAACAGAAAACCTCATCTTTTTTCTGAGGAGTGGCTAGTGGATTTGAACTGCTGACCTTGCAGTTAGCAACTCAATGCATAAACCACAATATCACCAATGCTCCACCAAGACTCCAAAGACATATTTGAAAGGGTAGTTCTATTAATAAGAAATGGACGTCAGAAGAGACACTGAAACTTACTCTCCAGCGTAGAAATGCTGAAGCAAATGGAAACAAAAGGATGTCCAAGAGCTGAAAAGAAAATTTCAGAGGTCAGTTCAAGAAGACAAAGTCAAATATTACAACAAAATGTGCAAAGATCTGGAGTCAGAAAACCAAAAAGGAAGGACACTCTCAGCATTTCTCAAGCTGGGGGAACTGAAGAAAAAATTCAAGCCTCGACTTTTGTTATTGAAGGACTGACTCTCTGGGTAAATTCTTGAATGATACAGAAAGCATTAAAAGAAGATGGAAGGAATACACAGAGTCACTGTACCAAAAGGAAATGGTTGATGTTCAGCCATTTCAAGAGGTAGCATATGATCAAGGGCCAATAATAGTGAAGGAAGAAGTCCAAGGTGCATT